TTAACCAAGTTTCCTTCCCTTTTGCAATTTTTTTCAGGAATCAATCAGGTAAAATACAGATGAACAAATAACTAATTATATTGGCAAATACTGATTAGAAAACACAGCTAAGCTGAGAACATTTGACTGAGAACAAGGTAGAAAAGGCAAACATGAGAAATCACCTATATTAAGTTGAATTTAATATGAATCTAACTCATATTTTCATCCTTCCTCTTAATACTTCTGTGAGGTTATTCAATCTGAATATGAAGGAAAGATGACTAAATAGGCTGTTTAGGGGGCAAGAAACTTGCAAACTTCAGTGAACTTGTCCAGCAAGCATTCATGCAGAGGCTTCTGAGTGTACAATCAATCTGTAACAACACGAGCATGGTTCAAGTGCAGTTCCAGTATCAAAAGTATACATACATACATACATACATACATACATACATACATAATTTTATGTGTATCGCTGATGAACAAAAGTTACCAGCTGGCCTGCCAAGATTTTCTCTCAAGCACTCATCAGCCCAACATACAATGCAAATTCACCAAATAGTTGAGCTTTTCAGACGCATCATTTGGCATGGATAGCTATAGATGCCCTTCATTGGTTCCCTTCTTTCAACCAGCCCTTGGAGCTAGAGTTACAGATTAGAGCTGCTGTTTCAGCTATTTGCTTTGCAGCTGTTCCTGATGCAAAGAACATTTAAATTGACATTAATAGATAAGACTAGCAAATTATTCATCTTAGGTCTTCAGCATTTTCTTTTTTACTTTCCTGTAATATAATTTGTACACATATGCAAAAAGTGCATATCTTAATATAGTTTCCAAATTTTGACTTGTGCGTTTGCAATAGGTTTGCATGGGAAATGAGCACTTATTCGGGCAAAAACTGGTATCACTTAAATTGCTCCTGTTACAAGGAAGACATTCTGGGCCACTTGGCTCATGTCCATGAATGTTAATCATCCGACCATCTCTCTTGTGCTTCCTAGTGAATGCTTTTGAGAGTCTCAGATGGTATCTGCAGAAAAGCATTTAAGCACATGTGCAAACTCATTTATTTGTTCCTGAAATGCAGCCAAATTGGCCAAATGGCATGAAGGAAGCATGAAAATTCTGAACATGCCCTTTGGGTTGACATTGGATGCAGAATAAGACTCCTGAGTTGGAACATTGGCATGGAAAACTTGCGTCTTTGAAGTAGCAGTTTGAATCCTTCCTGGTGCCATTAAAAATAATCAGAAGTGCTCACAAACATTTTGGCAACTGGTGTATCTGTTATGAAATGGAAAGTATTCTACAGTTATTTATTATAGAAAGTACAGACCCAATCAGCTGATAGGTTCTGCACTTTAGATGCCTCCATGCTTGAGTATCAATATATTTGCAATTGCCCTTTACACAGTCAATCTGGTTATTTTATCATAATTGTATAGTTCTCATTATACCAGATCTGACACAAAGTGCCAATAATGCTGTTGAATCTGTTAGTTCTGCCTTGCTTCTTTCTAGTAATCATGGCTTTCTACATTCTGGTGTTACATTTGCCTGCATCGTCTGCTTTTTCTTGTTCTGCTGTAATGTCTTATCTACATTACCGAAGCATTGTTTTAATAATCTCAGTGCAGAAGATTGCTTTGCTCCTCCATACATTCTTGTTAACTGGACTGGTTCCAGACAGGGACAATGTTTTAGAGAGTGGCACAGTCATGGCTCCATTTCTGCAAAGGTCCCACTGTCTCAGTAGCCCTGCCATTCTCACCTTGCATACAGAGCACGGCAAGCACAGGCAGAGGGTCATGCAGGGTGTTAGAATAATTGCATGGTTAGCAACCCCATGTGTTATTGTTGTTAAGAAAAGTGTGTTGGGGGGAAGTTGTAATTTTCATGGGGATTGCAGTGCATGGAAAAGAGAGATTTAACTCTCCCTTGCCCAGGCCAGTGGTTCCAGTGATTTTTACATTAGCATTGGATTTTGCACCAGAGAAGTGGTGTCCTTTCTTCTAGCCACCTGTATGCATGGTGCTTCAGAACTCAAATACTGTCTGAACGTGATGTGGGGTAGACAACAGTATGCTTTTTCTAGGTGATTGCAATATTAAGTGGGAGAATGTATCCTACTCTCTTAAGATTTCTATTACCTCTTTCTTACCTCATAAAATGGGAATGAGATTGTAGAATACTGAGCTGACAAAATGGGCTGTTTTAATTTAATGCATTTCTAAACTTTTAATTACCGAAGTTTCTAAACTTCAGGTTACAGGTGAGGGCTACAACTTTTAAATGTTTTCCTGTGTTTAATATCCCTGCCGTTATACAGCTAGTGCAATGAGGATAAAAATCAGCCCAACCTAGCCCAGTTCCTGATAATTTACCATTTTCTTTATAAAAAGAGTTTTAAAAAGTATCTTTCAAAAGTAGCGTACACACACACACACACACACACACACACACCACTTGAAGTAGAACAATACTCCATGCTGCTACATGTGGGAACCAGGTCTCTGAGTGATTAGGCCCAGTGCAGGCTTTTCTTTCTCCTAACGCTCACTGCAGAGTGTAAGTGTGTGGAGTTTGGCTGAGGAGGAAGGGGTTAAATTGACCCTCACTGGGCACTGCCATTAGGATGAGAATGGACCTGGTATATTTTTTAAAAAAAACAACACACACAACAACACCCGAATGTGGCTGCTAACTGTTCAATTAGAATGATGTCTAATTTAGGCTTCAGACAACTTCAGTGAGTTGGATAAGGCAGGTTAATCCAAACTTTATACCGGGGTGGCTGTGGTGGGGAATTGCTAAGGGATTGTGACAGCTGTCCTTGAATGGCTGCATTCATACTTCTGCTTATAGTGAGCAACAGACTAATTACTTAGCCTTAGGAGTAAACCATAAGCGTGAACAAGCCCTGTAGCTGAAATGTTCTTTACAAACCAAATCAAAGACAGATGGCTTGCCTGTCAGCACTCACTTGAGACATACTTTTGTGGTCCTAAGGGAAGTACTTCACTGAAACAAAAAAGCTGGCAAGACAACAACCCTGGTGAGGTGTCTTGCTGACTGGAAGCGCTATCAGTGAGCAGCCCACAAATCATAGCACGATGGCGACATCATAGCACGATGGTGTTAATAGTGTCATGCTGCCCTTCATTAAAACATACGGCTAGAAAAGAGGTTTCATTAATGAAAATATTACTTGCACAAATCAGCAGGGGTCATAAATGATGTCATAGAATCATAGAATTGTAGAGTTGGCCATTGTAAAGGTTGTGGTAAAGCTTCAAATGGCCCCGCGCACAGCAACTATGCCACACCCACCCAGTACATAAAACCTAGCAGATTGTATACATAGAAAAAGTACTCCTGAAGGTGTGGAATGTCAATTGCAATTCTGCTTGTGGCTGAAAAGGTCCCTCTGTATGTTATTGGACAGCACTTTCCATCATACCTGGCCATTGGCTGGTGGAAGGTATCCAACAACTTCAGGAGAGCATCCCATTGACTATATAATATTTGCCAGGCTCTATCTTTTTATTGTTTTAGGAAGCTAGTAAAAAACTGAGTTATTTTAAATGGTCTGTTCAAAAAACATTTCCATGATTTTCTTTTTTTAAAAGAGTTTTTAAGGTTCTTCATTGCATTCTGTATGTAGTGCTTTTTGTTGTTGTTTTTACTGTGCTAATATGGGATTATGGTGATGATTTAGTTTTTCCTGATTTGCTGTCTGCTTTCTGTTACTTTTGAAAATATGACAAGATAAAATAAAAATAAAAAGTAGATAAAATGCATGAGAAACTTTACCTGAAATCCAGATAAAATACTGATCCAACCTCACTATCCTCTGTACTAAACTGTAGAACAAATACAGTCTAAAGTATATCGAGGGGGGAAACACAGAGTACATAACATGTGACGTTCATCATGACTGTCTTATTGAAGTCAGTGAGATTTATATTAGCCACAACTGAGTCCCACTCCAGTACTTTCTGTTGTACTAATCTTAACTCAGTTTTGCTGAATGAATGAATTTGAAATGTTTATTCATTTCTTTTTTAAATTAATGAGTTGTGTTCTCTGCCACAGTGGCACCCAAATGGAACTGATAACAAAAACATAAAACTATAATAAAAATACAGTAAAATACTATTTAAAAAACTGGGTTGGACTACAACTTAGTCCTGCTTAGAGTAGACCTATTAAAATCAGTTGGAATTAAGTAAGTCACGACTACCAGTAAATTCCCTCATTGATTTCAGTAGATCTACTCTTAAGTGAGATCAAGTCTAGATCCAACCCTATGTCCCCAGAAGTTGCACTGAGTGCCATGGAATTTACTCCCAGGTAGTATAGGATTTCATCCTAAGGACAGCAGTAAATTTAAGAGTACATCAACATTGTAAACAGTCACCAGTAAACTAGGCATTTCTCACAACTTCTGAGTGGAGTTAGAGCCATTATTTCATCTTGGCTATGCATTTGCAAGACCACTTTGTGTGAACCAGCTATCCTTTTATATGGCATAACTCCACTTTCCCCACTCAGCTGGAAAGAAAGGGAATGTGTTTGGACAAGCATAGCTGTGGATTCACCCTCCTCTTTCTAAAACGTTAAAGACAAATACCTGCTCAGCTGTCCTTTTCATTTTTACCATGAAACGTATTCTAGATGTCGACAGAGTGTAACTTTTCAGGGCTCTCCAGCAATCTGCCAGTGGTTTCTTGATGGATCCTGCTTATATACTATCTGATTCACTTTTCCAAGTGTTGCCCCCCACCCTCAATATCTGATACTGACTCAGAGATAGTCTGCCTGAAATGGTACTTGAAATGTTTACAGAGATGATTTCACTGGAAAATGGACTGATCTGGCTGTTTTATCATGTAGAAGGGGAAACACATTGGTCACAGCAAAAGCTTGCATTGCTCATAGAGGAACTGATAATGTAAACTAGACGTTCACATTATCCTCAGGTGATCTCTTCCCTCTCTTGTTCTGATTTTCAGACAGTGAAATGATTGCTCCAGATTGTCTCCGTCCAAGATCCTTCACTGCTATCCGGCGGCCTTCACTACGCAGGGAGACTGAGGACACCCGTCTGTCTGTGAGCCTTTGCGACCTCAACCTCCAGGAGGAGAACTTCCATGTCATGGCTGCCATGTGTCCCATTCCACAGAATTCCCTCAACTCTCAACATTCCCACCTTCTCCCATCCCAGCTTGAAAGTGACCTCCGTTTCCATCAGCTCAGGGGAGCCCATATTAAAATCCTGGATGACCAGACAGTGGCTCGCCTGGAGCATGCTCGAGAAGAGAGAACTTTGGTTTTCACCAGCAGGCCCCTTAGAATCAATGAGACCATATTTGTCAAGATTAATAAATCCAACACTTCACGTACTGGGACACTCTCTTACGGGGTGACCACTTGCGATCCTAGCACCCTGAGGCCCAGCGACCTTCCTTATAATCCAGAGTCTTTGGTTGACCGGAAAGAGTTCTGGGCAGTTTGTAGGGTGCTGGTGCCTCTCCAGAGTGGAGACATTTTGGGATTCATGGTGAATTCAGAAGGCGAACTGCACTTGAGCCACAATGGAGCAAATGCCGGCATGCAGGTGTGCGTGGACTGTTCCCAGCCACTCTGGATGTTCTTTGGTTTACATGGAGCAGTCATGCAAATCCGAGTCCTGGGTATGTGTGCCTCTTTCCACATGCAGTGTTACGTAAGTGGGTGGATTGGGCTGAGTGGGCGAGTGGTAGCACTAGAATATAGCACTGGGGTGAGCAAAGAAAAGGCAAAGTAGGTTCTGTGGCAAGTCCTGTCTTGTTTGCACTGGATGTTGGAGGTGAGAGAATGGAGAAAGCAGGGTTGCTTCTCAATACCTGCAGTTCCAGCTAGGGCATCTCATCAAGACTGCCAGTGGTGACTTTCCAATGGCAAAAAGGGTAAGTAATTTTTATTTATTGGAGTTTATGGAGACACTCGCCTTCTCTTTTTTCCATATTATCCACAAAATTGAACAGACTGAAAGAAAATAATATAGCTGACCACTGGCTTCATTTAAACAACATGTGCAGCCAGCATTTCAGCAAAAAAAGAAAATAAGCAAATGGCTTTATAACATTAAAATCTCACACATTTATCATTGAGGTACACCGTGCCTCAATAGTATAGTACATGAGCAAGGCTTGTAAGGGTGATAGCATTTGAAGTAAACAGCCTAACATTTCCTTATGTTGCTATAAAATGTGAAGTTAAGAATCCAGCCACGCAGTTTAATGTATTACATAGACATACTATTATGAGTGTTCATTCTTATGGCTTGTTACCAATGTTTGTCTAATATGACTTGAATTCCAGAAAGTAGTTATTTGCTCTGAGAAATCTAGTCCTTAGTGCTTTATAGCTTCTCCCAAACAATAATTTTATGCCAAAAAAGAACAGAGCTAACAAGCAAACTTGCATTTTGGGAACTGTGACTGGCATGTTGTGATGATGTTAATGATTTAGACAGTGTATATACTACTTAGAAAAAATATCATTAAGTCACCAAGGGAAATGTGCTGCTCACCACTGTAGAAGTAGAGCACACAGCTTTTAAAGAGCCTTTTTAAAAACGAGTTAATAAGGAAAGGAAAAGTGTTCATGAAATGGTGGGCCATTTTTCTGCAAAAGGAGAGAGTATCCTTGGTAGTGTCATATCCCTTTTCCTAAAGTAGTTCTGGGATTTTGAGGAGATTCACCAGATTTTGGGGTCTACATGAATGAATGCATTCATTTTTATACGGCTGAGATACCTCAGTAATAGTGAGTTTTTATGCCACAGATCAGTTATGAGAAGGTGACACCTGTGTAGTTGTGTTCATCACAGAAGCAGCCTCATTCCTAAAAAAAAAAACCAAAAAAAACCCCACCCTTCTTAAGACTTGCAACAATTGTGTTATCTTGGAAAAATGCTATTAACCAGCAACTCAAAATGAATACACCACAAGAGAAGTTTGGCAAATGCAAACAATAAATGCACATAAATGTGCCTAATGGGTCTCTTCCTTTATGTAGCATTTGTTCTGGGGTGCCCCCAAGTTTTGTGAGCCATGTATTTAATTTTGTGTTTAGGAAAATGGACTCATTAAATAGGCAGAAATGTAGCAGGCAGATCATCTGAGGCACATCATTGCCTAAAGTATTCAGAAAACTGCAGGGCAGACAGCACTTTAGTGTTTTAATAGAAATATGTTTGGAAGCAGCAGCTTTGGGGTTTCTGGTATATGTCTAAAAACATTTTTTTTATTTAAAAAAATGCCTTAAGTGCATCTTAGAAAGGCATTAGCTGTGTTAAATGCTGTGTGAGCCATTCCATCAGGCTCAATTTTATTTTTATTTTTCTTCTCTTGTAAGCTAAGTATACATTAGTAATGTAAATGATTAGCAAGCATTTCTCGAGGAGGTTTAATCATCACGTGCTAAAGGGCTGTGCACTGACATTACATAGTATCCTGAGCAAATCTTCATTTTTAGCATCATTTAAAAGTGAAATTAGTGCAAATTGGAATCTGCCCCTTTACAATTTCTGTGGAGATGGGGAGCCTTCCTTGAGGAGAAACATGCAGTGTGAAGAGGCTTAGGGCTGGCTTTCCATTTCCTTCTCAATGTGTTTTCTTAAATTATGCTAAGAATGCCTTTTCATCTGGAATGTCACTTGTGAATATTGCTAGTAAAGGATAGAATGTAAAAGAGTTGCTGCTTCTAAATTGATTGGAGAACTATGCTTTTTCTATTCAGAAATGAGTTTAGGCATCACCCGTGGAAACGTTTGTAGTCGGTGGCATTGAAATAGCTAAAGTGGGGATTAACAACCTGTGGTCCTCCAGATGTGGTCACCATCCCTGACAATTGGCCATTCTGGCTGAGGGTGCTGGGAGCTCGAGTCCAGTAACATGTGGTGGGCCACAGATTGCTAATCCCCAGACGGCAGAGAAATCGTATTAGGACTCAATCCCTGCAACATCTTTATACCTTATCTGTTCCAGAGGTGTCATTTTTCTTTGCCACTCTCTCCCTTCTGATCCTGATTGTGTTGTTCTTTTCCACTAGATAATATTAGGGGAAATTGCTTGCAAAAAAATGTATACAGTAAGCAATATTTAAAAAGTGTATATTCCACTTATGTGGTAATGTAAAGAACTGAACTTAAGGTTGAAAAAATTAGAAATGAAGAGAAAGCAAAAATTAACAGATTGAGTTTGACAAACAAAAATGATATGAAGTTATAGTCAAGGGACTTACACACCAGGCATAAACTTTATGTTCTCTCCGTCTGTGAGACTGCAAATTAATTGTCTTCTCCATCAGAATAATAAAACAGCTCTGGATGAAATGGGATGTTAGTAATAATTATATATGAGCTCCCTTATGCCTTTGCCTGGGTATATCGAATAAATTGGAAACAAGATAGTTGATCATCCTCTCTGAATTTTGATGTGCCTGTTCATGGCAGCTAAAGCGTCCCCATTTCTTGCACAAATGCTGGAATGGGTTAGATTTTTTTGCATATGTGTAAGTGACAAAATGGACTAAATTTCCTGGTAACAAGCAGGTTGATGCTTCCAGCAAAATCTGCAGTAAATTTTAAAGCATCAAACTTTGTGGTGTGCTTTTAGTGAATTAGTGGGAGTAAAATAACTCTGAGCAAAGTGCTAGTCCATCCTGATCTGCTGGCTGTCTCAACCTCCTTGGGTTTGTTTTGACCTAAGGTGGATGTTCTATTAGTGCAAGGATTTCTCCTTGCACAACAGAATGTCACCCCCCTCTCCTCCTCCCATGCCCCCCTTTATCTGTTCTGGGGGCTCCCTTAACCTCAAGAGGAGATTCATGGATAGCATAGTGTGCATGTGGGGTGAGATGAGGGGAAAGTCCCATTCTGCTTGAGCTAATCCGTGCACTAGCACTTTGATTTAGTTGAATATTGTCTGTAGGCAAAAATGTCCAAGTTGAGTGAGTCTGGAAGGAAATGCTATTCAGGCAGACATTTGTACATATCTGTCTGCAACCCATAAAGCCAAGAAAACGAAATGAGTATAAGCTGATGTTTGCTGCAAGTGTTGATGCCTAGACATTAGAGGCTGTTGCCACAACAGCAATGCAGGAGAATGGCCATTTAACTACGTTTATTCATGAACTTTGGCCATCTGAAGCAGCTGCCTCAGCATACCTCATGGGCAGGCCGGCCCTGTTGACAAGCACATACCGTATTTTTCGCCCTATAGGACGCACCGTCCCATAAGGTGCACCTAGTTTTTTGGGTGGGAAATAAAGGGGAAAACATTATTTCCCCTCCAGGCGCGGGGCTGGGGCGGGGGAAGCCCGAGCTTCCCCCAACCCCAGCCCCCAGAACAGGCAGCTCTCTGCAAGCCGTGGGAGCCCAGCGCCGGCTCCCACTGCTTGCTGAGAGCTGCGCAAAGCCTGGATGCGCTGAGCTCAGCGCGCCCAGGCTTCAGCATGCAGGCAACTCTCCGCAAGCTGCGGGAGCTGGGCGCTGGGCTCCCGTGGCTTGCGGAGAGCTGCGCGAAGCCTGGAGAGCGAGAGGGGTCGGTGCGCACCGACCCCTCTCGCTCTCCAGGCTTCAGCGAAAGCCTGCATTCGCCCCATAGGACGCACACACATTTCCCCTTCATTTTTGGAGGGGAAAAAGTGCGTCCTATAGGGCGAAAAATACGGTAAGTAAGCATGCGTACTGGAGGCAGTTTTGCCCCAAAGGATACAAGAGAAGAGGGAATATATTAAGAACAGGTTGTGTTCTAATTTTACCTATGGGACTGAGCATTGGGAAAGTGCTTGTTAGCCCCCTGACAGTTATGCTATGGGATTCTGCAGGGCAATGTTTTATCCCCACTTTTGAGACTTATGTGAAAGGTTATTCATACATGAATGCTAACCATAATCAGATAAAGATAGCTCACACAGTGCATCCCAGTGAACCTGGCCTTGCCACTGTACCAGTGGACTGAATGCTGTCTCAGCAACCAATCTAGCCCCTTCCTTGTGCTGTCAGCAGGTTTACACCTTTTGCATTGAAAAAATCATTGTCCAAACTTCATGCTTTTAGCCATTCATTCATCCCTTATTAACTTTCTCAAAGCGCAAAGCTAATCCAAGGATGGAGGGCTGGGTGGAGATTTTTTGTGAGAGTGGACTTGTACTGTGCATAGCCAAGTTCTTATTCAAGCTTGCAGACCTGGTGTGTGTGTGTTTTCCATGTTTCCTCCCAGAGTTCCACCCTGGAGAAGAAACATACCTATTTGGACTGAGAGCACAGAAGCCTCGGTGCTCTAAAAATATTACTTGCACCTTCTTGGCCATCATAAGTTCTGCCATCTTGGCAGCTTAACATCTCTCTGAGCAATCAGGCTGGAGCATGGGTTCCAGCTCTTTGTGTATATAAAATGTTTGAAAATGTGAACAAGCACTTTGACTCCATGTGTATGAATGAGTACAGTACATCTCTAACTGAATCTCAGCAGAGTCTAGGAAGTATGTTCCTGGCAGCAGTGGCAATCACAGCTGCCACTGAACGCCATTTTTTCATGAATGCTAGATCAGGACCATAATGAGAGGCAAAAGATTAAAGCCCTGCTACCCTCCATGCTAGAGTCCCTTTCTGGTATGGGTGTGGGGGCAGAATCAGCAGTTT